CCTTCAGTTCTCCCTCTGAACTTAGGCTGCCCTTTTCTTTTATGGCTAGGTCACAGCTTTCTGCTATGGCATCCCCACAGATTATTCCCTATTTATGGGAAAATGGCCTGGTACAGAGTACATCAGACTCCAAACTGTTACAGGGCCAACTTCCCTTGTGACAATCATGCATCACCGCTGAACCCTTTTCCGACTCGTGGGACCAGAGAAAGCTTTTGTGAACTGAATGCCAGGCGTTGTATAGGGGAATATTATTTTATGGTAAATTGCTACATTTCTTTACACCAGTAGTCATGTGGAAAGCTGCTTAGCACAGAGTATTTACAACCTCCATAAACACAGAGAAGCTGTATAAACTAGAAAGATATCTATTAACCATATATGGTCCACTACTTGAGAGCTGGCTGCCACTTAAACAATTAAATGCTGCCAGCTGCTAAGATGTAGGTCTGATGCTTTCTTGTGGGATGGTAGAGGTGGGATGTTGCTGAACTTTGGTTTTGAGAAAGAACATACTGTTGAGCAGTTCAGGTCTGAGAATTCAAACCAGTACACACATTAATGACCCTCTGCTTTTGGATGAGTGAGCTGCATTCTTCTGTGAAGGGGTATTGCATGAATGGCTGATGCTGGCTTTAAATCATTTTGCTTTCATTCAGGCCCCAGTTCAGACAAGCATCTCCATTCAGGGTAGCGCTTTAACCATGTGCTTAAATGCTTTCCTGAGTTGGCATCCTATCTTTGACGCTACTAGCACACTAATTAGTCTATTAATATTATGGAACAGATCTTAAAAGCTATTTTAATTCCATTACTTGATGACTCTTCAGCCAGCAGTAGTATTAAACGCTGAGAATTCCTGGACAAACTATTCACCAAAACCAATCTGGACTGTTTAGCCCATTCATCTTCTGAAAATGTTTCATAAGGCAAACAATTATTTTTATTACTTGGTTCTGTATTCAGTATGATATAGCAAAAAGTTTATATAGCCTACAGCTTGTTCATAAACTATTCAGTGCAACTCTGGCTTGCGTATTTACTGGCTGAAATTTGGTTTGCAACCTGTGATTGATTCCCTAAGTTACAAGCCTTCCTTGTTTTCTGAATTAATGGATCCCCAAAATTCACAATGGGTTTCCTATTGACTCTTGAACACTTCAAGCTTTAATTGTCATGCTTATACCTATGTATGCAAATATTTGAAGTGTTTTCTATGAACATTTGTGAGAATAAAATCTGCTCTTTGAATATTATTGGAAAGCAAATTTGGGAGCAGTTGCAAATACGTGCAATTCATTTGAACAAATGTTTGTGAAAATGCTTTTGCATAATTCATCACATACTAAAAGATGAGTGGCCAGATTCATATACACAGTCACTCGTGTAAATACATAGCTGGGAATTATTTCAGATTTATATTGGTCTATGACCATAGGAGACCCTTAGGAGTCATTAGGATCATTTTACTACACTTTACCTACTCTTATGTCATCATCAGCATCACCATCATACCAGCAGCTAGAGTCATTTCCTCTCTCCAAGGAATATAGGCTGGAATTTGTGACCGTTTCTAGCATATTGTTTGCACATGCTACTTGATTGCTAACAGTGCACTAGACTTTCTTTTTTCTCTTACGGAATATAGACACAACTTCCTGTTTAGAAGTCTGAATTCCAACAGCTACTAGAATCGACCATGCAGGGCAGTCAAAAATGAATAGATTTACTATGGAATAAGCAACCAATAATTGTGATGAATGTTGTTGTTATTCATTTACTTATTGTTAGTATGTTGTCAACCACTACAATGCAGTGGGAGCTGCTCAGTTGGGGAAGGTGGTTTATTCTCCCCCCCTGAAATGTGAAAGACAATGTTGTTCAGAGGATGACCCACAGGACTGGAGGTCGGGACACCTGGGTTCTGTTCCCAGCAGGTTGCTGCTTCTGACTCTTTCAATTCTGGCAGCTCTGAAAACAGCCACATGCTGGCGGGAGGGTGGCTCCTACCTCTTGCCCTGTCCTCCCTCCAGACCTCAGGGCTGCACCCGAGAGAGGACCCCTCCACGGCAGCAGATAGAGGGAGCACAAACTCTTTGCAGACTGGGTGGTTCTCTTCTTGTTTGACTAGGGCAGCCAGGTGTGTTGCATCTTGTGCAGCAGTAAAACTATGGCAACAGCCCAGACTAACTCGTGCTCATGTGGCTGGACTGTTGAGTGGCTGAGGGGAAATTCCTTGGAGTTGTTCCCCCAGGGTGCTCTTGTGTTTCCTGAGCAGAAAGCCGGATGCCCTTTATGCTTGCCTTCCATCCTGATCTCACAAGTCATTTGGGAGGCACATGAGAGCTGAGGTGAGGGCAGTAGCCAGTGAGGAAAGGGGAGGGTTTCACAGCTGGACTGTGTTCTGCTTCCATCACCTACCCCTAGGCTGACCAAAGGAAATCCAGGACATTCATCTGCAGGACATTCACCCCCCTCCCATCGCACTCTCACAAGTTGGCAGGGGCGGGATGGTATGCTGGGTAGTCACCGGTGCCTGCCCGCCCACCTGCAAAGCACTCTGTGCCACTCCACCTCCCAACCTGGACCACACCCCACGCTCCTGAGTTTCCGGGACACCTGTTATAATTTTCAGCAGGCAGCCAGGACCAGCCTCTGAAATCTGGGACTGTCCCAGCTAAACTGGGACATATGGTCACCCTCCCTATCCCCCACCTTCCCTAGCTACCTTCCTGTCATCCCATGCACTTCCCAGTTCCCCATCTAGGATCCCAGCTATCTCAATCATGTCAGCACCTCCCAGACACCCTTCAGTTAAATCTGGTAAACTGCAGGTATCCCTCCAAACCATCAACTCTCACTCAGGATAGGATCCCCCAGCTTCCCCAGACACTCCTGTCAGCCAGCATAGGTCCTTACCAGAAGGCATCTGCTTGCACACAGAGAGGCCTCTAATATCTCCCTCTCAACTTTGGCAAAGGCAGGTTCTAGATTTATTCCACACGTTCCTTCTTCTCTGCCATGTTCTCCCTGCAATGCACTAATGTAGGGGGTGGGCTACCAGGTGTCCCCTTAGAAGGGAGCACAAGAACAGCAGCCGCTGCCACTGCCAGTGGAGAGAGTGATAGTTAGCATCTCTGGTGGAATGAGTGGCTGTCAAGCTGGAGTTTGAGTGATCTGCATACCTCCTCTTCTCTCCCCTTCACAGGAGAGAAATGAGAAAGGAAACACAGAGAGAAGCAGTGTTCATAGCTTTGTCAGCAGTTGCATGCAATAAATAGGGCTTCAAGGGAATTGGGGGCACAAGGAGTTTGACTCCCTGTGCTGTGTTGGGATTTTTACCTTCTTTGCCCAGTCAGGGCATTGGGTTTGGAAGTCGGTGACTCTCGTCCTCCTACAGGAAAAGTCACATACGGTGCTGCAGAAACCTTGGCCTGTGTGACAGGCTTATAGAAAGGAGCGGGAGATTCTCAGGGTGGTGCAGGCAGGGATGTAAAGGAGGTCAGCCCCTACCACTTCAGCATGCTGGCTGTCTGCACCTGGCACCCAGTCCTCAGTGTCAAAGTACAGATGCTACCAGACAGCAGAAAGCAGGTGGCTCCAGAAAGAAGGAAGAATCTCTGAGGTGGGCCTAGAGCCACCATGAAGTGGTGCTGCTAGTTGCGTCCTGCCCAGTGGTGCCTGCTTTGGTCCTCAGAGTAAACCACAGCTGTTTCTGTTGCTTTTTTGGACAGTCAAATCCTAATTTTCTGGTTCCTGAGGTTTGGATGGGTTGATCCCTTAATCCGGATTGAATCCCCTCTGTGCCCCCACATACTGCCTCAGCTAGCTGGAAGGTACTTTCTGTATCCCAATATGTAATATCTACTTTCTCTTCTGAATCTCCTGAAATCATGGCATTATTTTGGTTTTATCTAAGCTGAATTAGTTTAGGCTACCTACGTCTGGAAATGTATTGTTTGGAGTTCTCAGGAAGGATCTATCCCTGTGCTGTTTAAAGGATGCGGGAAAAGATGCAGCCAATTCTGGGCAGAGAAAGGGCTGCAGAAGTTACAGATACTGGCTAGGCAAAAGAAGGCTGAGTGGCCTGAATGTTGTCACACATTTCTACCACATCCTTTTCCCATAGTTTTCTCCTAGGAGAGAAAGCTACATACAACTGATGTTTCAATACTCCAGTCCTTGCATCAGCCTCTCTCCTCTTTTTTCTCCAATTACTCTGCAGATACTGACTGGTGAAGACTGGAACGCGGTGATGTATCATGGGATAGAGTCACAGGGCGGTGTCCACTCAGGAATGTTCTCTTGCGTTTACTTCATCGTCCTGACATTGTTTGGTAACTGTATCCTTGCCATTTTGAAATGAATTTTCAGGGGATGTCAGGCAGTCTCCTCACCAGCAAGTCAAGCATACAAGGTGCCTCAACCTCCTGAAGCATGAAAGACAGTGCAGTGCAGAGGGATAGCACATAGGGCTGGGAGTCAGGACACCTGAGCTCTATTTCATTTCTGCTGCTGGCTCTCTGGATGACCTTGTGTAAGATCCCTAGGACTTGTCCCTGCACAACCATGCTCTAAGCACTAACTAGACTAACACCAGGTAACTCTAATAGTAACTATTGCAATGGGAGGTATGATTGCAGCACAGTAGTGTGAGTAAGCTGAGCAAGCTTTTATCTAGCTAATGTGGAAAACAGTGTAGTGAAGATGCAGTAATATAAGCTTCAGCACAGGGGGGTACAAACCAACCAGAGATCATGGGTACCTGCACAAGTGGTTGAAGCTTGCTTTGCCTTGGCTTTGCTCCTGCTGAGCCTGTACGAGCAAGATTAAGCTGGCTCCAGTATGTCTATACCTGTAGCATGCACTGCTCCCTACTGCATTGCAATCAGAGCTTTAATCCATGTCCATTCACATCTTGTTTTTTCAGTACAAAGTTGTGTGTAGACTCTGTTACATCAGATTTAGTGTCTTACTTTGATTTAGCCTAGACTTGAGAAGAATCATTGAATATCATTTGAAATGGGACCCTCTTAATCTGCTCACGCACATTTTGCACTGAAACACCAAATAAGTGTGAACGGAACCATTTTAGTTATACTGGTACATGCTTAGTGGTAAACTGGACCCCAGTTTCTCTGTACCTTGGTTTGTTTCTCCATTTGTAAGGCAGGGATAAGAATGCTCATTGTTGTAAGGCACTTCCAGATACATGCGTGACAGGCTATGTAGAAGTGCAAAGTAACCTTATCAGACTAGTCAGTCGCTCCCACCTGAGAGACCATTGGGTTCAGAAGCCTTCAGTTCAGCAGCCTTCACTCCAGTTCAGCAAAGGGCTTTTTCTGGCAAATCCTGTTAAAGGGAGGACTGGGGAGAAGAGAAGCCTTGAGACATAGCATATAGAATCATTAAGGCTTCCACTTTTGAAGAAAGGTAAGAAAACATGGACCCTGTTGTATATCACTACAGCCCTTTCCTCTTGCATAGTCCTCCTTATTCTGTGTGAGGAATTATGACAAGGAGCCGCAGATTATATGGCACCCAAGTTGTACTTGTCATTTAAGTGGCTTTCCTCAGAATTACCCAGCTCTAATTCACTCTGTCAGTGAGCAGCAGGAGCTACTACCCAGAGACAGACCAGGTTTCTACACTCATGCATCCACCTCATGCAGTGTAGTATGCGACTCTAGAAATGCAAAAACCAGGACAGCAGGTTGGGGCAGTGGGAGGACAGAAGAATATCCCTAATTCCTTAGGGCATGGCATTTGAAAGTGAGATTAAACTATAATTAAGTTGACTGAGAGAGAGAGAAAGAGACCCACTTTTAACCTTAAAGAGACTGAGTTCTAATGTTTTTTAAAAACCAGACATAGATTCCATTGCTATCTTGCTCATTCTCTCATAAAAAAGGGTAGTTTTTATAAGGTTTGAGTCTTTGCTTCTACCAGTGCAGGTGTAACTCCACCAAACTTAGTAGTGACACCAGCATAACACTTCTGTAATGGGCAGGTGAATCAAAACCATAGTATTGTTTCCAACTAAAATCATTCAGTCTGAAAGCAACTGGGGCCAGATTCTGTCATCTGCACCATTCCCTTCAGTGCAGTGCTGGTGAAGACAGGACCAGTTCTTGGAGAATTCCCCCAGCCTTGACCAATATGAGCAGGTTTCTGAGACAGAGGTTGCTAGAGGCAGCAGGGGATGTGGTTGGAGCATTATGCTGTAGCTATTTGTCACTGCAGACAGCTATACAAAGTCACTGAAAGTAAGAGCAGCTCTTGAGCCTAACTTAACATGCATCTGGAGCTGCTCTAGTCTTTGGAGTAGTCCAGGACCAGGCAGGTACAAAATCCTTAGTGATTCTGCAAACTATCAAAGAGCTGTCCTCTTTTCATGCTTGGGAAAAGTCCTTCCCTTTATGTAATGCTGTGGGGGCATGTGCCAATGAAGAAAGGGAAATGCTGATCTTCTCTTTATTAATGCTATTTTTGCTTCCATGCTACACACTCCGTCAGAATCACAGTCCACGTATATTCTGGCCAGCCTTCAATATCCCTTTGTAAGAAGGCCCACTCCTTACATCTCATTTCCTTTTGCTGTCAACTGTTCCTGATATGTATCTGTTCTTCCACTTCCCTTCCACACTCTCCCAGAAGCAGACACCATAAAGGGATGCTTTGAAATGCTTTACCCTGTCACATTTTTATTGACGTCATTTAATCTATGAAATGTTTTTTTCAAGGTACAGGACAAATCAGATGGGAAAGAGATAGTGTAATATAACAGTCATTATATCAAGTACTTGAACATGATCAGCTACTCTGTTATCAGGATGGACTGAGTACTCCTAACCATCATAGTTTTGCATATAAAGAGGGCTTCATGCTGTGGAACTAAACTACTCTTAAATTAAAGTTCCATTTTAACTGGCAGAGGATTCCATATGGAGCTTACACTTGGGGAAGAACATTTTTAAAGAAATTTTAATAACTCACTCTTTCATTGTATGGTCTGTGCATTAGCTAGTTTTTATTACTTCCTTTTTTGGTGTTTGGTAATAAATGGGACTACAGTGCCCTCAGGGTTCGAAAGTTTATATAATCGCCCTTGCAGCTTATCCGAGAGAGAGACACCAACACTTTGCTTCATTTTTCTATTGTCCACAATCTGAACTGCTTGTGACACATCCTGTAATGAAGACAGAGGGATCCTTGGGCACTATATACATTTGTCAAGTTAGATATGTCATGTGTAAGTCTTTAATTCTGTGTGAATACTGCAGATGAAATGAGTTCACTGCAGTAGAGGTTCTGCATGCATGAACTACATGGAGAAAAGAGCTAGCTGGATAATGTTTATGACATTAAGAAAACTTACTGTAACAGGTAGCGGTGCACCAATACATTGGTCCCATATTGGATCGGCACCAATATAAAGAAAATTAACTGTATCAGCATTTGGCTTTTTTGGCTGATGTGGCCAATGATGTGGTCAATGTGGCAGTGCAGCACAAAGGCACTCAGGAGCATAGACAGGGGTATGTGCAGAGGCGGGAGCTGCCCTTCCAGCCCTGCACCCCCTGGACGAGCCGCTTGTGGCTCTATCCTGTGCCCCACCCCAGCTGCGCAGAGCCTGCCCTTGCCCCAGCCCCATTCTCTCCCTCACCATGGGGACCTCAATCTCCCCCCCTCCCCCCCCCCCTCCCCTCCCCGTCCCCCACAACAAGCTTACCAGCCAGACGTTGCTCTGCAAGCTGCCCGGCTGCATATCATCTGTCGGATCGGTATCGGCCAATGTGGTTCATTAAAAATCAGCCATCGGTATCAGCCCAAAAACTCTCTATCGTTGCACCCCTAGTAACAGGGTTAATTCATCCTAATGAACTTCTTGACCCAAATTCTGATGTTAGCCCCCAGCGGCTGTTGTGAATTTGGAGGAAATCTGTTCACCTCAAAGGAGGTTCTCCAGCTCCACACTGGTAAGTCACATCAGGATCTGACCTGTTTGGTCAGAAATCTGTGACCCAAAGTATTTTTGATCAGTATAAAGTAATACAGTAAATTTGGAATTATCTCCCTCCTGCCCCCACCCCCGGAACATATGACTTTCTCCCCAATTAACCTTAATGAGAACCTGTCCAGAAAAGGGACAACAGGCATAGAATTGCTTTAAAACATTTCCCCCTTGATTACAATGACAATAGCAGTAGTAAATCCATTACTACTCATGCTGATATTTCAGAGAGAATTGCAGCAAGGTCGCTGCTATCTCTGCCTTTCATTGAGTGGAATTGGTAATGCTGACAGTATGCAGAGAGCATTCTTTTCTTATAAGAGGGGAAAACAGAACCATACAACTTTCAAATGGCTTCAACCATCAATTCCTGTCAGGCAAAACATTATCAGAAATGTCTGAAAATGAACTTTAAGTTTAGTTTGCAAAAAAACAACCCTCCCCCCCCTCCAAAAAAACCCTTCTCATCCTTTTGTTCCACATTAAACAGTTAGTGGTACAAGTGTGTTTAACCTGCTATAACAGAATAAAGGCCCTTCTATACATGCAGGTATAGGTGCAATGGGATCTAATGCATGATCCACACAATTGTGCTTCCTGCCTTGCCACATGTACTTGGCAGGAAGTATGGTTGTGGGATTGTGAATCAGATCCCATCACACCTTATTGCCTGTGCAGGCAGAGATTAATCCTGGGCTCCCTCTGTGCTGGCAAGAAGCAAGTTCCCACATCTGGGAGCCACCTCAGCTGATGGGGTTCCCAGCTGTGGGAGCACACCATGCCTCTCCATGCTGGGAGACCACAGCAGCTGATTTCCCTGTTGCAGGGGTATGTAAATTGCCCCTTCAGCTAAGAGATCACAGCACCTACAGTCTCCCAGGTGCAGGGATGCATGATGCTCCCCTGTGGCTGGAAGAGCACAGTAGCTGCAGTCTCCCAGGCACAAGGGTGCGTGGGGCATCCCCATGGCTGGGAGCCCTGCCAACTGATGGGGCTCTTAGCTTCAAGGGTATGTGCTTCTGCAGCTGAGAGCTCCCAGGCTCAAGGGTGCACATGGTATTCCTCCCCCCTGTTCCCCCCAGCTGGGAACTCCAGTCAGCTGAGGGGGTCCCATCTGCAGAGGCACAGGTGACACATGCAAATTAAAGCTGGATAGAAACCAGCTATAAAGTTATTACATTTTCCAGCAATAACTTTACAGCTGGTTGTACCTTTTTAAGGCACTATACTTAATTTGCACATGTAACCAGTATTATTCGTGCAATTAACCAGGTACCATATTTCATGGTGAATAGATTGAGTTCTGACACCCAATTTTTAACTCTTAAAATTCGATCTCGATTTATCCACTGTATCACCATCCCCTGCAAGTGGTGCTGGGCTCGGCACTCAGCTGGCATGGGCCCAGCCAGCCCATTCACGGGGATGGGGC